CATCGATCTCAAAAACTAGAATTTTTAAATTGATAACAATTCAACAGACCAATCTCAGATAACAATCAAACAAGCAAAACTAAATATATAAAAACCCACAAATGAATTTGTGAACACAGCAAAATTACAACATGAACAGAGAATCACAATGATAAAACCAAACTAAACTCACAAAAGAAAAAGTGAAATTCAAACAAACCCATATCACAAAAACTACAGGTTTAGCAAATTCAAGGTGAGGAAACTCTTGAGAGGTAAAGATCTGAAAAGTTAAAAATTATAGTTAGGGTTTGAAATTGGGGGAACGAGAGCAAGAGAGAGAGAGAGAGAGAGAAAGAGAGAGCGTGTTTACCTGATGAAAGAGGTCTGAAATCGAGAGGATTAGCAATGGTAGAGTGTAGGCGGCTACACGCACTGCTACCGAACTTCCTTCATCTCTCCACCGAACCCCACTGCTGCTCCAACGCTGCTCCTGTTTCGTTTCGTGTTAGTCACCTTCTTCGTGTTTGCTCTCTGCCTTGGTGAGTTCGCCGCCGACCTCACGGTGGGGAAATAGGGCGACGCCACCGCGGCGTGAGACATTTTTGGTGGTGGTGGTTTTGAATGGTGGTCTAGGTTTGTGCTTGTGTGAATAATAAAGAGAAACAGAAACAGATGGAGAGAGTGAGAGAAACAGGGATACATTGTGGGCATATTTTGATATATTTGTTTGTTTGTTTGAGAGAAACAGATGAGAGAGGAGAAAATGAAAATGTGTTTCTGATTTCCCGCCCCACGTTTCAAATTTCCCTCAGAAATTTTTGGCGACCAAAATATCAAATTAGTCGCAGAAAAGGTACCCTTCGCCGACAATTTTTTTTAGTTGCCAAATCTCAATCAACGGCGACTAAAATATTAGTCGCTAAAAGTACTAATTTGGCGACTAATTTTTTTTGGTTGCTGAAAATAAGTTTTTGGCAACCAAATTTTTGGTCGCCAAAAAATATGTGACCTTCCGCGACCAAATTTGTAGTTGGTCGGCAAAAGCATACCACTTTCTGCGACCAACTCATTTTTTGGTCGCCAAAATATAACCTTCTGCGACCAATAATATTTGGTCGCCGAAAATAATGATCATTCACGACTAATTAATATTTGGTCGCCAAATGTCATTTTTTTGTGACCAAAATTTTTTTGGTCGACAAAAGTGGTCGGCAATTGTGTAAATTCTTGTAGTGACTTTCTAATCAAATTTTTCTGACTGCTTAATTTTTTCCACCAAATAATTTACCCATGACAATTATATACTCTCTCAATTGAACCCATGATGCAATTCCAATAGGATTTGCATTGAAATATGTATAGTTTACTACTTCTTCTTCTTTATTTTTTTAATTTTTTTTTTTAAATCAGCTATAGCTGTATACTAATACATATGCATTTGGAGATAGGTGTGAACTGGCATTAATAGAAGAATAATTACTAGCATGAGCCACTTATGTTATTGTCATTGATGGTCTACTTCCATTTGTCCAATCTTTTATTTTATTTATTTGTTCTTATGATTTATGTATGTGTCTCTCAAAAAACTTGTGAAAACTGGCCGTCTTTGTATCACTATTTTTCCATTGTAAAGACATGGTCAAACCAAAGCGTACTATTAGCAGATATATGTATATATAGCAGTGTAAACGCGTTGCGATGTGCCGTCTTCAAGTCCAAAAGAATTGAAGAAACAGCTTCACAATCAGCACCACTACAAGACATGTGGTATGTTAAAAGGATATTCAATTTTTTTAATAACCCAATGTGTTACTTCTATTAATTCCTTTTGAACTTTTCTTCTCTCTTTCTCTTTCTCAATTTTGGAGTAGATGAAGTTGTTTAGTTGGAGCTAGCTAGCTTGCATTGAATGAATGAGATTTTAGTACTACGTAGGGTTTTAGGAAGAATTTGGAATACCAAATCAATACTTTTTTTCTTAGGCTTCAAAGAAGTATATTTTCATATTTAGAAAGGAAGTAAATCGTGTGGGGGCATTCTAGTAAATTATTGACCATTAACTCATTTTATGTTAGAGAGCTGGACTATTTTTTATTTTTTATATGGGTAGTGATTCATCCCCCGAAAATGGGGGAGCCCGAATCCCCCTAATTTCCATTTCAGGTAAAAAAAAAAAAAAAAGGAAAAAAGAAAGAAAAAAAGAAAACAGTTTCCAAAATTGGAAATTAGGGGGATTAGGGGGCAACTTTTTAGGGCTACAAATCATTTCCCTTTTTATATACACATACATGTAGAGAGAGAGAGAGAGAGAGAGAGAGAGAGTTCAGAAGTAAGAACTAATGCTGCTACTTGCTTAATTTGGTTCCTGTTGTTAAGCGTATAAAAAAAGATTTTCAAGATACTCTCACATGGTATAGTTTTTATGCACTTAGTAGTCCATGTCTACATTACTAACCCTAAGAATGTATATCAATTTCTGCCTAGTATTTGTGGCAATCACATGCCAAGGATCAAAATTGATATATTTAGGCATATTTCTGGTAAACACAAGAGTAAATAGTAATAGTGACTATGGACGGCATTGTGAAATTGATGTCTTATAGGAAGGTTATTGCATATTCTATAAGATCAAGGACTAGTTTCTGTCTCAGTATATTTTTAACTTTGGATCATGTATTTACGTGCCTCAAAATTCTTAGATGAAAGAACTAATAAAGGGATAAAAATTCAAGGACAAAAAATAAAGGGATTTGGGGACAAAAATTGAAGGACAAAAAAATAAGGGGGTATGTTTTTTAACAAACACCCTGTATGGCTAAACGGAGAGGAGGGAATGGTGGTTGGATCCTGATTGTGCATCAACGGGGAGGAGGGTCCTTTTGGAGCAATGAAGTTAGGAATGGCCTATTTACTGTATATGTGGATTATCTTCCAGGTTCTATGGACGCAAAATCTCTGTTCAAACTTTTTTCAAACTTCGGCATAGTAAAAGATGTCTTCATCCCTTCCAAAAGAAGGAAAATGACAAACTCTAGATTTGGGTTTGTGTGGTTTGACTGTCATGTAGCATCAGATATTGCAGTCCAGAAAGCTAATGGACTCTTGGTAGACGACAGTACTCGAAGTCAAGCATTCCACCTATGTCAGGCGCACCATGGATGTGCACAGCAGAGGAAGGCCCCAACCCTTCTGTGGTGCTGCTGAAGCACTCAGAAGTAAGGGTAAAATACCTTTTGTTGGTCACAGATCTTATGCAGAGGTTCTACAAGGCGCTCCAATCAACACAGCTGGGTCAGCGAGCTTAACCATCAATGTCAATGAAGATGGTCATGGCTGGCTATATGAAAGTGTTCTTATCCGACTCAATTCAGAATACTCCATCAGTAGCATTAGAGATGTTTTGAAGAGGAATGGGCTATCACAAGTTGTGGTCAGAGAGGGAGGAGGCCGTGATGCAGATTTGACCTTTACTTCCCTAGCGGAGTTAAAATCCAATATTCATAACATCAAGGAATGGTTTAAAGATTGGAGCCAGTTCGTATTGGAATGGAGGCCAGGGGTCCAACTTGTTCAGGTGAGATGCGTGTGGCTGAGGTACCAGGGTATACCCTTAAACCTATAGAATAGGAATACACTACATGGCATTGGAAATCTGTGGGGGACAGTCCTCAATCTTGAAGGCGATTCTAGTCAACCAAAATCATTTTCTTTTGCTAGAATCTGAGTAGTTACAACAAGCATGGAGCTCATCAACAAAACCATTCACCTGGAGTGCAGGGTACACTTCACCCAATCCTTATATGTGAAGAGTTTCTAAACAACCCATTGGAGTCCAGCAGTAGATTGCAAAATGGGATGGAAGATTACAGCTCCATTGTAGGGTACTGTGGGGTCAAGAAAGCTCGACTTACAGAGGTGAACTGCAAGAGGAAGGAAGATGATGATGACATGGCAGTGGGGTGTGTCATATCCGCTGATGTAATCATCTCTTCCAATGAGGTGGCACTAACGAACGAACTTATTCACTGTTGCAATCGAGAGGAGGTAGATACAGTGGTTGAGGATTCATTGTGTGGTGATCAACTCAGCAGACCTAGTGTAGTAGGGGTGCAAGAAGCAATGATGCAAGAGCGTGTCCCCTGCCTAAAGAGCCATGATGAACCCCTAAGATGTGTTGAGCAAGCTTCATCTTCTGGTATTTTAAAAAGTCTGAGTGGGCCACCAGATGGTCTTGGGCCTGGAATTAATTTGGAGATGGACCTAGGCCATCCTCCAAATGTGCATCCAGTTGATAACTCTTGGATTTTGCCAACTATTTCCCAAATTAATAGGCCCAGTGGCTTCAGCCCATCTGGGTGCAACCCTCACGCTCCTTGTAAATCCAATGGGCCACATACAAATGGTGTAATTAGTGGGTTGGGTTTGGGTCTTCATAATCAAAACCAGTCTGGATCTTATGCTTTCATCTCCAATCGTCTACGGCCTATCAAGAAACCAGGGAAAAAGAAAGTTCAAATGGAGGGCTTCTCTCGATTTGCTAGACTCCATGGCCACAAAGCTACAGCACTTGCTAAACACTCCTCCAAGGCTGTTATTTTCAGACCAGCAGCTGCTGCTCTTACACACTCTGATCTCTCTGAGGGTGAATCAAGTTTGCATAGTTTTCTGCTCAAAGAAGCCAAAGCCACTGTTCAACTGGGGAAAAAATCTTGGAGTAAATTTCCGAGGAGAAGAAGAAGTTGTGCTGGACAAGATCATTGATCTGGAACTTAAGGATATAGAAAGACTTACCAAGGATGGTAAGGATAAGCCGCAACAGCAACAGTTGGGGGTGTTCAGAGTGTTCTTTTTATTTCTCTATGAAGCTCCTGTTATGGAATGTTAGGGGGATTGGCAAGTCTGAGAGGAGGGGTAGAATAAAGAAGTTACTAAAGGATAGGCACATTGATATTGTTTTCCTTCAAGAAACTAAGAAGGTGGTTGATTCGGTTATTGCAGCTAGAGGAATTTAGGGAAGCATGAACAAGGAGTTTTTATCTGTGGATCCAGTTGGAACAGCAGGTGGGCTCCTTTGCATTTGGGATCCTGATGTTTTCCAATTATCTGGCAGTTGTTGTAACAGAAGATTTATCTTAATCTCAGGTACACTATACAACTCCTTTGATTGTGTCTTGCTTAATGTATATGCACCTAATGATGTCAGCAGTCGATCTATTTTTTGGAATACTCTTCTTAACCTCAGAGCCTTTTTTCCCAACCCTTGGTGTTTGGGAGGTGATCTCAATGAAGTAAGGAATATGGGTGAGAGAATTGGTTGCTCCAGAAGAGACAGGGAAATGCAACATCTCAATGACTTTATAGATAATTATGAGTTGAATGACCTACCTCTTTTGGGAAGGAAATATACTTGGTGCAATGCTCAGGAGGCACAAAAATGGAGCAGAATTGATAGAGTTTTGCTAAGCCCAGAGTGGTTGATTCACTTTAAAATGAAGCTTTGGAGATTGCCTAGACTAATATCAGATCACTGCCCTCGACTACTGATGGAAGATGAAAGAGATTGGGGTCCTAAACTTTTCAAGTTTATCAATGCTTGGGTTCCACATCCTAGCTTCTCTTCTCTTTTTAAGTCTTGCTGGGAAAACACAAATGTTGTGGGCTGGGCTGGGTTTATCATTCATCAAAAACTGAAACACCTGAAGGTAGAATTAAAGAAATGGAATTCTAAAGTGTTTGGCAATGTCTCAACTAAACTCAAGGCTGCAGAGAATGAATCGCATGAACTAGATATCACTGCTGAGGTAGAGACCTGCTTGATTCGGAAAAGGCTAGAAGAAGGGTGGTCAGAGGTGAATTGTGGCAGCTTTATAGAAGAATGGAGTGGTTATGGCATCAAAAATTCATAGTGAATCGGTCCCTACAGGGGGACAAAAATACCAAGTTCTTTCATGCTATTGCAAGCACTAGGCAATGTTACAACATGATCAATTCTATTACAGCTAATGGTGTATCTGTTGAGGAACCTAGCTCAGTTAAGCATGAAGCTTTAAGTCACTTCAGGACCCACATCCAAGATAGCTGGGTTATTAGGCCTTTTTTACATGGGGAGTTCAAATCAATTGAGGCCAGCACTGTCTCTCAAAGAATGTAACAGTAACAAAGCTCCAAGCCCCGATGGTTTTAATATGTTATGTTATTAGAAATTTGGAAAGTCATGAAACATGAGGTTTTGCAGTTCTTTAAAGATTTCCACAACCATAGTAGGCTTACCTATGGAATAAACAGCTCCTTCATCACCCTTATTCCCAAGATTGATAATCCCAGCAACCTGTCTGATTATAGACCCATTAGCCTTGTTAGTTCACTTTACAAAATTTTGGCAAAAGTCCTAGCACATAGATTGAAGTTAGTGATGCCTTTAATCATTGGGGAAACTCAGACAGCTTTTATAGGAGGTAGGAGCATCCTAGATGGGGTGTTTATTGCCAATGAAGTGGTTGATGGTTGGAAGAAGGCTAAGATGCAGGGGTTGATTATCAAGTTGGACTTTAAGAAAGCTTTTGATTCAGTCAATTGGGAATTTCTGTTCTCTTTGATGTCTAGCTTTGGGTTTGGGTCTAAATGGATCTCTTGGATGAAAACTTGTGTCTCTGCATCTTGCATCTCCGTCCTTGTGCATGGTTCACCAACGCAAGAGTTCTCTCCGCAAAGAGGTCTTCGGCAAGGTGACCCATTATCACATTTCCTTTTCAATATAGTGGTTAAAGGGCTCAATATTCTTCTCACCAGAGCTCTTGATCTTGGCATCCTCAATGGAGTTCGGGTTGGGGCTCAAGAGGTTCTTATATCTCATCTTCAATTTGCGGACGACTCTATTCTTTTCTGTGAAGCTAATATGGATCAGGTAGTAATTATTAAAAGAGTTCTTTGATGTTTTGAAGTCCTATCCGGACTGAGAATCAACTACCACAAAAGTGTGGTCTGTGGAATGGGTGTAGCAGCTGAGTCACTGCATTTGTTTGCCAAGCTCTTGAATTGCAAGGTTCGCAGCTTGCCCTTGAAATTTTTAGGGCTGCCTCTAGGTGCTAACCCAAGTAGGAAATCCACTTGGAAATTAGTGCTTGATAACATTAGATCAAGACTATCAGGCTGGAAAAGGAAATTGCTATCTTTTGCTAGAAGATTAACCTTGGTTAGGTCTGTCTTATCATGCCTTCCTGTATTCTACCTTTCTCTCTTCAAGATGCCTGAAGGTGTGGCTTGAGAATTTGAAAAGATTGAAGCTGCTTTCTTGTGAGGTGGTAATGAACTAAAAAGAAAAGTTCATTTGGTGAAATGGACTGAGGTCACAAAGAGTTCTGCCCAAGGAGGCCTGGGCATTAGGAGGATTAGAGATGTGAATGTAAGCCTGCTTCTCAAATGGTGGTGGAAATTTGGGAATCAAATAAATGCACTATGGAGGAAAATCGTCTGCAGCAAATACAAAATTGAAGCACATAGTTGGCATCCTCCTGTTACTTCCTCTTATAAACACTCTAGGGTGTGGAAGGATATCTCCTTCATTGGGATTCAGAATAGTAACATCTTCAATTTCTTCCTAGAAAACTGCAATATCAAGGTTGGGGATGGCAGTAGAATCAAGTTTTGGCATGATAAGTGGTGTGGTGTTTCTTGTCTCAAGGAGGAGTTCCCCTCCCTATTCAATCTTTCTACAGAAAAGAATGGTTCTCTCCACCAAATTTTTGCTAGGAAAACAGGCTACTCTAATTGGCACTTCCTTTATAAAAGAGTATTGTATGCTTGGGAACTGGCTGATGAAGTGAGATTAATAGCTTTGTTATCCTCTGCTCCTTCTCTGAACCCAGCTAGTGCTGATAGTCTGGCTTGGTCTTCCTCTTCTGCAGGTTCCTGCTCTTTCTCAGTGTCTTCTCTTTATTCCTTCAGCTCTTCTCTTCATGGGCCCAATCTTAGTATTACCAAATTTATTTGAAGTAACATTCTACCTCCCAAAGTCCATTTCTTTGGGTGGCTAGCCTGGAAAAATAGAATCATAACTGTTGTTTTCTTGCAAAACCTTGGCATCCTTGGTCCCTTTGCATCCACCTGCTGTTCTTTCTGCAATTCTGCCCTTGAATCTGCTCAACATATTTTACTCCATTGCCCATTCTCTTGGTCTATCTGGTCTCATGTGTTGTTTGATTGGAGGCTTCAATGGTGCATCCCAGATTCGGTGGCAGATCTTCTCAACTGGTGGATGGGTGTCAAATTTAAGAATCCTCTCAGGAATTTTTGGAGAGCTATTCCACTTGTAGTTCTATGGTTACTCTGGAAGCATAGAAATGAGTGTGTCTTCACCAATGCTAGTCCAAACCCAGATAAACTGTGGGATGTCATTAAGTTCAGATTAGCTTTCTGGCTTAAAAACTCTCTCAAGGACTTTCCTTTCTCAATGGTTGATGTTGTTCTTAATTGGAGGCAAATTATTTGTTGCTATTGAGTTTATATCTTTGCTGCTTATGCTTGGGTGATGTCTCTGTTAGTTCTGCTTGTTCTATTTGGGTGCTGTTTTTAGTGATGTTATGCTCTTTCCAGTTGCTTCCTATCTGCCATACTGATCTGCTGGAGCCATTCTGTTGTTTTCTATCTGTAGTCTGATCTGCTACACTGATCTCTTAGACTGTTATGTTTCTGGTATATGGGTTGAATTTCTCTTCTGCAGATTAGGATAGCTCTATGGGTTATATTTCTCTTCTTCAGTTTGAATCTGGTCTGTTTTGCTTTGTTGCTGGTGGTTGTTCAGTCATGGTCATTTTAGCTGTTCAACCTTTTGAAGCTGGTCATATTTGTGCTCTGGTCAATTTTCTATTCTGCTTATGCCTCTGTTTGTCCTGTTTGCTTCATTGTGAGAAGCTGGTCCTATTCTGTGGCTGCACAGCTCTGGTTTTGCTCTGCTCCTGTGATTTTGGAAAACATCTGAAAGGGTGTATAATTTGCTCTGCTTCTGCTATTTATCTGCTCTATCTGTTAGAGCTGGTGCTACTATTCTAGTGGATGTGTTGCTGTCAAATGGTTGCTCTATGCTGGAAGGGTGTGATTTGATTTGGACTGATATTCTTTGTGATGGATGGGTGTAAATTGATCTGGTGTGTCATGCTTGGATGAGGTGGTTACTTTCAATTAGGTGGCTGCTGTTCTTTGTTTTTGTTTTTTTTTTTTTTTTTTTTTGTGTTAGTCTCTCTCCAGCTAGGAGGTTGGAGCTTAATTTAGCTCCAAGCTCCTCTTTATTGATGTTGTCTTTCATATGTATTCTATATGTGGTTCATCAATAAAGTTTTCTTTTGCCGATCGAAAAAAAAAATAAGAGGGTTTAGGTACAAAAATAAATAAAGGGACAGAAATTTAAGTACAAAAAAAATAAAATAAAGGCATAGATAACATGAATAAATAAAGGACAAAAAGATAGAGAGACAAGAATTTAAGAATAAAAAATCTTGGCACCTACAACAAATTAGTTTTTTTTTTCATTTTGTTAATATTTTTGTAATTTTTTAATTAAAATTTGTTCGCTCTTTCTGAAAATTAAAATAACTAAAAAAAAATTAGAAAAATTCTCTCCACAATATATGTTCAATGGTCTGATGATGATAAGATTTTGACAATGTGCATCATGACTAAAAACTGGTGTTGTGTTGAGAATTAATAAAAACACTAAAGGTATTGGTAAAAGTGAAAATGACAACTAATTGAGCTTTTTTAATCTTTGTTTTTGTATAGTGTACCGGAAAGAAATAAACATTCTCGTATAATCCTGTTGATCAAGTCTGCACTCCTCCGTACGACGTCGCTTTACTTCCTGAAAACATAAACGTGAGCTAGCCGACGGGTGTGTGCCGGATACCTCTCCGATGCCTAAGTCAGCAAAATAAACAAATAGACAAAAAGCTCTGTGTATTCGAAAATCAAAGTTGTGTTACCTCTCCATAGGTGATGCTATGAGTTTTTATAGGTTCCGCGTGGAACAATCCTAGTAGGACTCTTACTCCTCCATGTAGAGTCCTCCTTGGAATCATATTCCTAAAAGATAATGCTTATCCTTCAACGCTCGTCTCATTGCTTGAACCAAGTAAGATAGTTTTACCATGGTCGGATTCCAATATGATCGAGGTAAGCATGGCTATGCTAAGCCGTAGAGTAGACCGAACTATCTAGTTCGGTTCTTCCTTTCACTGCACTTACCTTGGTTTCTCCTGTACAACCCATGGCGTGCTTAGACCAAGCTAGCAAATAGCAAGGTTCCAACCGAGCTAACCACAGTATGCTATGACCGAGCTAACGCTGAGTATGGTGACCGAGCTAATTGCAAATCTCTCTCGGACCGGGCTAACCTCAAGGTCTTTTTTACTCAACCCTTCTTACTATGGCCCACAACGGCCCATTACCAAGCTCGGCCCAATTTAGATATAAATTACCCTCTCAATTGCCCCTTAATTCCATCTGCACAGCATGATAGGGATTACCTGTTTACTAGCCGAGCTAAAAATCTTTAGCCCTCCAATCAAGCTAAAAGCTTCTAGCTCTCCAACCGAGCTAGATCAACACTGAGCTATCCTCCTGTCCGGTCAAAACGTCTCTTCAGTCTATAATTGAATCGATTTCTATTCCAATGACACATGGCAGACTCTGATTAGCCCAATGCAGCTGTTATGCCATCTTCGTACTTTGTAGACACCCCATTTTTGACCGACCTTAAGACTCAGACATCACCGATTGAGCGCTCGATGACGTTGCATAATGTGCTCGTTCAGAAGTTTCAGAGTCTCGGCTGCGAGCCCTGCTTCCGGACTTCCGAACCCTCTTTTGTGCTTTGCCTCGGCTTGCGAACCAGGCTCGGTTTTCGCTGTTTCTT